TTTGATCTTTTAGATTTAATACATGTATGTTTTAAGTATTCCATGAATAGATGAAAAATATTAAAAGATTAAATGTTTCATAATGAAATAATCTTTATTCAAGCAAATATGCGTTATTCAACTTATGTTTGTTGTTAATAATGAGTGTTTAATTTGCTATATGGCATTAACTAGAATTGCCCTACTGCCATTGAGCATGTTGATACCTCCGAATAAATATTTTACATTCTTGAAAATCAAAGCTTTTCTTAAAATTTGCTTTAATGTACATCATACCCCCCTCCAACGCACAAAATCTTAAAGTTGATACACATCCTACAGTCATGAATAATAACTTAAACATGGAGATGTTGCATGAAGCAATTTTATGTCAACTTAAAATGAATAAAAAATGTACACTAAAGGTGTAATATACTAAACAACCAAACTTGTATATTGTTTAACTTCTGTGAAAATATCCCCCACATGAGAATGCTTTTTTACATGGACAATTGCAAAATTTCATCCTTTAAAAATATTCACATTTGAAAACTCGTGGCCTTAATCAAACATCTTGAAGATTGAAATTTCTGAATCATAAACATTTTAACTCTTTGACATTGTACAGACAAACATTTATTTTCAACTACAGCCGACAAGTTAAACTTGTCACATACATAATTATGTATTATAGACCTCATATTTAACAGGGTGAAGTATATTATCACTTCCCTTGTATAGTTAAAAGTTATAGCTGTTAAGGCAATTAGTGATAAATCTGTAGAATAAAGAGCCTTATGTATTTATTTCGAGAATTTTAAAAAATAATTCTTCATCTAGGTTTTCCAGTCAACCTCGTACCGATGTGTTTTTTTTTGTAAAATTGCCCATTTCGGTTAAATAAAGATGACACCTTTTGCTCTAAAATGCATCTTATTTGCCCTGCAAAATAGCCTGGATAACATATAGAGTTTGGATGGGATAGACAAGAATCAAAGGATAAATATATATCTATCAAATGCAAAAAAAAAATAAGAAAAAGGTGAAGGATTTTCTATAAACATGATCTCTATGATGCAGCTTTTTGTATCAAGGAATTTCACAATGAGTATCAATAGATTCTTAATATCGTGAATCTCCAGGGTCATCAAAGTGGTGCAGTGTTTAGAGAGTCTGATCGAGAGTCACAAAGTGAAGCGTTAATCATAACGTCGCCACTGTAGGACGTGGAGACCGGTCCCTTGGATGATACCGTATAAAACGATGTCTCGTGTCATAGTTAGTGCCGGCACGACAAAAATAATCCTCACTGCAGAGTAGCCCTGAGTGCCGAGTAAATGACAAAGTGTGTAGTTCTCTATCGGCAAGAAGTGGCGTCTCCACATGAGTGAAACATTCTCGAGAAGGACATTATACAATAAATATTATAATTTTATATAATTCATCAATTATATAGCTCCAGTCTTGTGGTTGATTATGAGAGGTTATTACTATGTTAGGTCTGAGACCTGTGTGATATGCAATGACTATGTGAGGTTTCAACATCGTGGCTACTAAAGGCAAAGCCATTGAACTTGTCATGTGCATTTGTTTTTGCCAAGATAAAATTTTTAATGTAGAAAAGAAAGCTAAATAATGTAGCACATTACAAAATTAAGCTTAACGTTTTTCAAGGACACGAAGGACAGATAAAATTTCAATGCATACATGAATTTGTCAAATATGAGCAAAGTTTACCGGTACGTCTTGAATTTCTGTCAGCTGACCAAGAAATATGTTTTTTTTACATAAATGTGATAAAACTTTCTATTCTTAATCTCAAATCGAGGTATTTCATTAGTTTTACAACGTATTCATACAAAACAATACAAAATATTTATATATACAAAAATATGCTTGTTTTTGTTTTTGACAAAATCTGTTTGTAGGAAGATATAAAGTCTGCGTTCTAAGCTGGAATGCAGTTTTCATTGAGCTTTAGACCCATATCTGAAATTTCCGAAGGCATGGAAGATCAGGAATAAATATATTTCACTTAAGAGGTTTTTAACAAATGGTTAAGATGGATTATCATAGCTTAGTTAAATTGTTCATGAGACTCTTCAAAGTAATGATTGCTTAAAAGCATTTCAAATATCTCTTGGTATTTATATGTGAAATCATTGTCTTATTCTTGAAAAGATGCTAAGTTATTTACCTCAATAGTTATATTACGAACGTGAAACTTGAAAAAAAAAATATGGAGACAAGATCCTCGGTGCTAAAATTGCTACAAGACTTAAAAATAGTTTTAAAATAAAATTGAATCTCGGAAATTCAACCTAATTGGCATAGCTATTATGTTTGCCAAGAGAAATAACTTCTGTTTCAAGTGGTATTTATATCAATTTTGCCGGGTATGTACATGATGTGTAAAACAAACGAGAAACAAGAAACGAGAAACAATGGAATGGAATGTCAGATTCATCATAAAATACATGATGACCTAAAAAAGGTAAAAAAAAAAAATGGAACAGCTTTAGTTTTTGATTTTATTTTGTTCGTTAACTGATGCAGTCAGTTAAATACTATTAATACATTTAACTTATACGTACAATTCTTTTGTTTTTTTTTTTTTGAAAGAAATGCTTAACATATAATATTATTCATTATATAGATAAATGTACTTTATACAGAATATATAGATAAAATTATGAAGCAAACATCCATGCATAATAACGATAGTTGTATTTATAAAAAGAAACACAAATGTTTATTTTGACCTCTTTACAAAAATTGATATTAATGAATTTTTGAATAATACATATGTTAGTTTTAGATAATATAAAAAAAAAACATTACCAAGTCAGAGATGAAAACATTACGACATAATACGCTATGTGACTTAAGGACAACTCTCTGAGATGGAATGCCACCCAACATGGTAGTCATAAAGGTAGTCATAAAACTATTTCATAACTCGTTCAGATATATGTAAGCTCATCTCATGTCATAAACATAAACCAGGTACATTGTAAAAAGTTCTTTCTGTGTGGTACGGTTACCATGTCAACCAACGTCAAAATATGCTTCATTGTTCATAAAATGAAAATGAGTAACACTGTAACAGCGTTTATTGTACAACAAAAGAAAAAAAATCAAAATATGGGATAATGCTTTTCGCACACATATTTAACAAGAGAAATCTACATTGAGAATATATACTTATATAAGTCCCCTCTTTTATTTTTTTTTTTCAAAAAGTTCAAAACCTTAATATCAATGTACTTCATATAGTTGCTTACAATTTTGCCTTTAACTTCCAATACTTAAACTGTCAAGGCCAAAAAAATTGTAATCGAATGTGTAATAACTCGACCGTGACCGTTTTTGTTAAAAAGCATGTAGTTCAAATTCCATATGTTTTTTCGGGTGTACTCTTCATATTTATGTCGCCCCGAACGAAGTCGGGCGACATATAGCGATTGTACGCATGTTTTTGTTATACGGGCTGTTTCTCGGAGATGACTGGAACAATCTTCCTGAAACTTTTCTCAAAGGAGGATCACCGGTTGTAGTTGTGTTGTGTGGTCATTCAGTTTCAAAATGGCTACCGTTGCCATGGAAACTTGCAAAAAGCGACGAATTTTGTCCATGAGTGTTTTCTCCGGTCCTTTGGACATTCGTCATGAAACTTGACTGCTTAAATGATTATTTTCTGTAATTGTGCGTGTTGCATTCAAAAATTAAAAATTGTTAATAGTTTCCATGGAAACAGTGGAAAAGTGAAAATTCTTTTTCTTCGATTTTAAAATCAATGAAATGAAAGTACTAAAAGGACTGATATGCGTTGATGGTTTTCCAAGCTTAGCTAATAGGTATTGTTTTAGTGATGAAAAAAGTTAAAGTTTTGTCCAGTTTGGGGCGACATAAGCTATTGCTTGCAATAGCAGACTTTCTAGTTTTTACTTCCATGTATTCTTGATCTTTAATTGATAATAAAAAACGTAAAAAAGTTTTATTAAAATGCGGTGAATGTCCACACAAAAATGTGAAAGTGAAATTGAAATGGCCCAAGCTGGTCGTAGTTGACGTGAATTCAGTTTCCTTTCACTGTATTACTTAACTTAACTTTAAACCTTTAGAGTTATCCCCAAAAAACCTACAAAGCATACATGTACCTGAATTCCTTCTAATCATTGGAAATCGCTAGATTTTTAGCAAAGACATAAAAAATCATCCAAGAACCGGAACCGGAATTGACTCCCCTCAATGTCAAACTGGAGGAGTGGGGTATACATGTAATAAGGCATTATGTAATTTTTGTTAGCAAGGCACAGACACTTTTAGTTAGCCCCCTTGTCATGCTAATCTCAACCCTAACTAACATGTATAGAAAAGATAAACCGGAGTTTAAGACAGTTTTACCAGCTGCAGAATCTAGCGGAACTAGAGGATGACCTAGTCTCCACATGGAAAAACATTCAATTAAAGAATTTTTTTTAAATATACATGTAGTTAACTTTTTGAGGAACGGTCTTGCTGTGAATTCGTTTGAATGGAGGATAACACAGTGTCTAACGTTGTGAATTTTTAATTCTAGGGTGTCTAAACAATTCTGCATATTGTGTTAAAGTGCTTCAATAAAATAAATTGAGAAAAAATTGTATCGCTACGTTTTTACATTGTATACTTATTAAATTATACTGTTAAAATAATTGAATATTAGAACGGTGTAAAGCAAAAACGTGCCTGGGGACTTAGAAATTATGACTAGTATACGTAATTCAGGTATAATTGACTTTTTGTCCTTTGGTTAATGTAGTTTTATGTACAAAAAATAACAATTCTATTTCAAAAAACGATATAAGTAGTACAGCTCTAGTACAATTCTAATTGTTTCTTTAAAATGAAGTGGCCTTTCTCTCCAACAAACACACACGTATTCTACCTGTATCGACTTTGTGTTTGTTATTACCAAGAAAATGTTTTGGACAGGTTATTTCCTTCGAATTTTCAATATCCCGTTTAATATCTGTCTCTTTCAAAAAAAAATCTTCATCTTCATCTGTAATTTTTATATCGCTACATGAAAAACCCACATCATAGATAATTCCCTTGTGAAAGGTTTCCGTTATTTCCTTTATAAAGGCTTCCATTGCTTGTCTAATGTTCTTGACGCATTTATCATTAAGTTTCACGGTTTCGTCACGCGTAAAAACCTGCAACTGGATTGAGGTTTTGTTGACGGCGATGGCAAAATAATGACCAGCATCTTCTGCCTTGTAAAGTGCAGCATTTTTGAAAAAAGAATTTTCATCACAAACTTTCCATAACTTTAAACAACTTACCACCAATCGGAAAAAGAAAAAAATGAGGCAAATAGGACTTGAAAAAGTATACTATCATTGCTGATTTTTGTTTTCCTCTGATTTCATCTTTATTTTCAATGGAAAAGTCGGTTCGGTTCATGCTCGGAATGTAATACATCTCCTCATTGTCAGCGCCTACATGTCCTTCAATTCTTGTCATCAGGCCAAGTTTGTCCATGTATTGTAGAATTTCATCTTTGTGATTTAAGTAAGATTGCCACAAGGAATCATGATGTTTATCGGTCTCATCACCAACTTTCGTATCAACACAGGGTACATCACGATTGCCTTGTTTATTTTTCCATATCTCTTCAATGTATTGTCCAGTAATTTTCCCAGTATTAACTAGTGCGTTTATGTTGTCTTTCCGAGCAAAATGCTTTTCGTCAGTTATGATGTACTTGAATGCATCAACAAACCACTGAACATCTATGATAATAGTTTCCTTGAGTTTATCCACAGAAAAGTATATGATTTTTCCTATTTCGTGCAAGAAACGGAGAACATCATTGAGGTCATCTTCGACTACTGAAAAGTATTTCGCTGTTTCTTTCAATTCTGACCTCTTAATGACTTTTTTCCCATTTCCTTTTTCATTATTCAGAATTTTTTCAAGTTCAAACCATTTCAAAGGAATTTCTTCCCCCCAGTGTGGCAGCTTTTGTACAGTTTCAACGATACTTTGCTTAACAATGTCAATTGTCTTTTGTTGCTTTTGAGTCAATGCTCTAGGTGGACATTCTACTTCAAAATATCGATATGGTGATATAAGCCGTTTTAGGGTTTGTTCTTTAGATAAGCACGCTTCCAACTGGCTGTAAAATGTTTCTGATGTGTTACAAGTTCCGACCTGCTTCATTATAAGGAAATGAAAACATGTGTTAAAAAACCCCAACAAAGTTAATTTAATAATGTTAGCTTTCGAGATTATATATAAATATAAATAAACATAAATTACGTAGCGTCTATGATTATCGGATGTTTAAAATAAGTTTTCACCATTATTTCAATTTTTTTTTAAATTTGGAACCCTATCGCCGGGAATCATGATTTATTTTTTTTTTGTCGGGAAGATTTACAAAGCTTTCATTTTAAGGTAAGCTAAGCAGACAGTAGACTACTTCATTGAAAATATCCACGAGGTTTTCAAAACAACCTCTGAGAATATGATTGATTTCCTTTAGTGAGCTATTTAAGGATATATTCTTCTGATCATTTTACCCCAAGTGGGTCTTCGTTCGTAAACATGTCGTAAAATTCAAACTGATAACAATTTAAGAACAAGTTTATATAGTTTTTATGATTTAATTGTTTAACTATTTTTATTTCTAAATTAAAAAAATCTTTCTATGTTGTATTAATGACCAAGAGTATGCAAAATTACGATATTTACGAAATAGGCCTATGAAAGTCAACAAGTGAAATCGACATGATCGAGAAGGGGGGATCGCCCTTTTCAAAGCGACAGAAGTGCCATTTGAATGCCGAATGGCACTCCGTTTAAAGAGCCAACCGACAGAAATTTTAATTGTAGAAATATGTTTTTCTTAGGGTTTTCGAGCAATTTTATAGGGAAAAATTTGCCTAATTTTGACACTGGTGAACAACATTTTTGGGCACAATTTATCTAATTGGTATTCATTTGCTCATATTTTGCTTTAAAAGTCAACTTTCAATACTTTCAAGTAAATCTAAGCAAAATTAAGTTTCAATTGATTATATTTATAAGTTTATAGAGTAATAGGTCTAATAGCATTTTTAATGAAATTTCCATAGCTCCTTTTTGGCCTAAGTTCGAAGGGTTGAACTCTCTTAGATGAACACTAACATACAAATTTCTTGTCTTTAAATTATTCCTTAGATATTACATTTTCAAAGTTTAATGCACGTTTTTTTCGGGTATCATAAGAATACATCCTAAAATTGATGGCTGTTTGGTTGTCTAACCAGGACGGCATGGCGTTGCAGATAATAATTAATTAATTGTATATTGTTTAACGTCCCTCTTGAGAATTTTTCACTCATATGGAGACGTCACTGTATGCCGGTGAAGGGCTTCAAATTTAGACCTATACTCGGCACTCAGGGCCATTGAGCAGTGAGGGTTCTTTATCGTGCCAGCGCCTACCGTGACACGGGACCTCCGTTTTTAAGGTCATATCCGAAAGACCCGTGACTTTCACTTCTTATGCCGAGCGCTTGGCGAAGGAACAGTCACTACCTATTTTTACGTCTTAGGTTTGACGCGGCGCCGCGAACGAGAATCGAACCCGGGCCTCCCGATCACGAAGCGAACGCTCTACCACTAGGCTACCGTGAACGGTATGTTGCAGATAATACAAAACATGCCAAACTCAATCCAATTTTTAATGTTAAATGTATTTGTAATTCCAATTAAGAATAGAAGATCTACACGACAAATGTCTACAAATGTAAGAGAGTGAGTATCTTAAATTTATCATCCATCAAAAATATTGTATTTAAATGTACGATACGATGGATAAATACATACTATGAACAATAGATATAAATTGATAGTGTAGTCATTTCTACTCTTGGTGTATAGATATTCCACAAAAATAGTTCTTTTCTATTTTGACAGGATTTGTTCATCAACATTCAACATGTCTAAATATTTTAGTTTTCTCCCAGGAATATCGTTCGATTTGTATATTTTTCGAATGCTCGAACGTTAACATTGATGTATTGAAAATTGCATCAAACACAAAAAATCCTATTTCTTTGGATTCTCCTTTTTCTCCTTTTTTGGCAAAACAACTATTTCTTCTGTATAATAGTGGACTAATTCAATTATGGTTTAAAATTGAAATTTTAATAATTTAAACAGAATTTTCATGTGTGACTGATGGTAATAAATAATTGTTAATCAATTTCGTATCTGCTTTCTATGACAATGTATGCTGGTTAAACAATACTACTCATGTTAGTAGTATTACCCATCAAATAATGGAGTGAATAACAAGTTGAAGTTTTATTTAGGCTAACAAAAACAATAAAAATCGGTGTATTAGTTGATTCATTTATGAATCGATTTATGAATACTGCAACAAAAACTTAAAGAGACAATAAAGATAATGTCTGCATGCTGCATTTGTATAACTAAACACTGCACCTTTGCAAATAGTACTGTACCAGCCCCCGATAAACGTGAAGAGTCGATAAATCATAACAATAGGCCCACGGGCCTTATAGGTCACCTGAGCATTATGCAACAACCTTCCAGTTATTGAATTTGATTCATGTTTTAAGCCAGATGCTATATGGCATTCACAATTTTGAAAGAGGCACCATTGATCATCATAACAATACACTTAGCAGTTGCTTAGCTTGGTTACTGAATACCAATACGCAGGGTAGGGGAACAATATTGCATTCCAACTAATCAGTAATATTTAGCAATAACACTGTGACATAAACCCCTGACCCTAGGTCCACACATTGCACAAATTTTAAAAAGGCACCCTTAAAATTGCCTATCAAAAAATAAATAAATGTTTAAGAAATATAAAGGACAATTAATTCATTTTCAGTATATAAGTAGAGCCCCCCCAACCCTGACCCTGGGGCCTTGAACTCACAATTCTGTCTGATTAGGGCCCTTGCTCATCATAACTATTTAGGTAGTTCATCTGTTTCATACCCAGAGACAGAGAAGAAAATTTTCAAAGATTTAATGTATTTTCACTATATAATCAATAGAGCCCTGCCCGAACACCAGAACTCCTGACCCTGGGGCCATAAAATTCATAATTTTAGAAGAGGCATTCTTGCTCATCATAACTATGTACTTAGTTAGTTTATTTAATACCTAGAAGCAGAGAAAAAGATTTTCAAAGATTCATGTATTTTCACTATATTATCAATAGAGCCCCCCAACACAAGAACCCTTGACCCTGGGGCCATAAAATTCACAATTTTGGTTCAGGCACTCTTGCTCATCATAACTATGCACTTAGTTAGTTTATTTAATACCTAGGAGCAGAGAAGATTTTCAAAAAAATTCATGCATTTTCACAATATAATCAATAGACCCCCCCCCCAAACACCAGAACCCTTGACCCTGGGGCCATAAAATTCACAATTTTGCTTGAGGTACTATTGTTCATCATAACTATGCACTTAGTTAGTTTATTTGATACCTGGGAGCAGAGAAGAAGATTTTCAAAGAATTCATGTATTTTCACTATATAATCAATAGAGCCCCCCCCCCTTTCCTAACACCAGACCCTTGACCCTGCACAAGACGAAAGTCCACCTTTAAGCAATCGCTTAATGGTAGCTTAATGGTGACTTAATGGTGGCTTAAAGAAGTTAATTCCTTTAAGCCACCATTAAGCCAGCATTAAGCTGCAACTTACAGGTGCTTAATGTCCAAACTTCATTAAGCTACCATTAAGCCACCATTAAGCTGAGCTTATTGGTGACTTAATGGTCAAACCGCATTAAACTTTTACGCATCATATATAGACTCTTTAAACTAACTGTTAGTTATTTTAATATCATTTACGCAAAATCTATTCCAACTCATAATTTTGTCTCGATCATAATTTCTACGATTTTTTTTTGTCAATATGCATAAACTTGATCACTGAGAACAATGTTAGCTAATAGCCACAGGGGCTTGCTCGAGGTGTCTAATTTTTTTTTTTTTTAAAAAATCATTTACAGTGATAATAAAACAAGACATGCTTTATCAGAACCGTATATTATTAAAAAAAATTATTATTACATGCGTTGTTTTTATTTTTAGTGTATATGATTTTTAAAAATAAATAATTATTACACACCGGGAGGAAGTCCTTGTGAAATATCTTAAATTTTCAATACCAAAAATCAATTTGTTCTTAAAATTATCTTTATTTAATGAACACAGAATATATATTCCTTTTTAAAAACAAAATGGTATAATTTTTATTTCATGTTTTAAAAGAAACATTCCGCTACAGAATTCACAGGAATATAACTTTAAGTCATATAATTTCATGAAAAAAAAATCTCTGTCTTATTTTTTTTTTGGGGGGGGGGGGGGCTACTGGTATACCAATGTTTAGTTTTCAAAGATAGACTTTTACCATAAAAACTTTTTAATGGCTTTTACATCATGAATAATTTTAATTAATTCGTTATCTTTTTTTTAATAATGCAGCGGTAAGTATCTGTCAAAATCTAGTCGGTCTTCAATGATTGTTATTTCAAAATCGATTTTCAGAAGAACAGCCGATCAGACTAAACATGACATCCGACCAGATGTATACACATTGAGAAACGGAGTAAGATTAACAGTGTACAGTATAAAGACTGGTCAGACAATAGACCTTAATTAGGTGTTCCCCCTCCCTGGTTAACTAACAGGAAACTATACACACACAACGTACACAGACAGATTTTGATGATCAATTATTTTTACAAAATTTAAATTTAATGCAAGCATATAACAAATTAAAAATTATGATTTATCGTAAAAAGTCAATTATTTTGATACTCATAATGATACAAAAAGAATTTAAACTGAATATGATATTCTAAAAAAAGTTTTTGTAAACGTAATTAACCAGGTAAATCTTACGCGAGGATTGTCACTAATTGTTGACACAGAAACCGTTACCCAGCAGGCACGCAACGTTGTTTCAACGTTGAAAGGAGGTGGAATATAGGTTGCAACGTTGATCAACTATATTTCAACGTTGTTTCAACGTTGAGGTTTCAACGTTGAATCCTCAACCTTTTTTCAACGTTGAAACAACGTTGAAGCTGCAACATATTTTCAACGTTGAACGTTCGTCGATATTTCAACGTTGAAACAACGTTGAGGCTGCAACATATTTTCAACATTGAATGTTCGTCGATATTTCAACGTTGAAACAACGTTGAAGCTGCAACATATTCTCAACGTTGAATGTTCGTCGATATTTCAACGTAGAAACAACGTTGAAGCTGCAACATATTTTCAACGTTGAATGCTCGTCGATTTTCAACGTTGAAACAACGTTGAAGATTCAACATGTTTTCAACGTTGAGTATTTTCTGATATTGTAGAGTTAAAACAAGGTTTAAAAATGGAAAGTTGACTTGTCTTTTGATTTCAACGTTGAAACAACGTGGAAGATGCAACAAATTTTCAACTTTAGGAAAGTTAGGAAAATTTAACGTTGAAACAACGGGTAACAAGTATTGGGCACTTTAGTTTTTAAGTTCAAAATATAAAGGTGTCTTTAAATTCTAATCCATGCGATTTTTCGCAATATACACACAGCTGTATGCATTGTTAGAAAATATTATATATATAATAATTATACTTAATAAATGAAACGCATGCATTATAAATTGATTTACTCAAAAGAGTTGTGCCAATAGCTAGTACCATTGTAAAATTTTAAATATGAGTTTATATGAACCATGGCATCTACATTTAACGCTTCATTATAATTATTTTTCAAAAAAGGTTTTTTTTTTAATAAATTGTGAATGCTATTTTTTGGACATATTTATAAAATATGTTAAATATAAACTTTTAATAAATAATAACATCTTTATCCAACATCTCACTGTAATTCCATGTTACTCTAGAATTAATAAAAATAATTATTCCGAATTAATTAATGTTCTTAAAATTAGACTCATATGGATCCGTGCCGTATACTCTTGCGCAGATTATACGTAAACAGAGCGAATCTAAGAAGTCTTTTTTTTCACAAAATATAAAAAAAATTCAAATAAACACATAAGAATTTTCACACTGACAATTAATTAACCCCAGTCAAGTTGCATTACTTAAGATCCACTCCCCAAAAACCTTCGAGATATCAGATAAGGAGTGCCTCTCGCTTAGTTGGTCAGTTTCAGTGTCAGGATAACCTTGTTATGCAATTTTCTTGCTGGGCAGAGTATCGCTGTTTGCAGCTTATCTAGGTCAAAATTTGAATTCAACTGATGGACAAGAAGTGCGCGTCTCCTTGCTGTTCATATTTAATGTGTTTTTCCAGCTATATACACAAGGATTAAGACTGGAATATCAACTTCTGCTCAGTAAGTATTATTTCCTATTCATGAATTTAAGAAATAAATTTTTTTGTATCTGTTCATCATTTAATTCTTGTTTTATAAGTATATTTGAAATCTGCGTGAAATGCACATCCTTGGTTAGTGTATTATGTGTTTTGTTGATATTTATTTGGTTATGAAATATAAGCTAGTATACTAATATTTTATGCAATTTAACTAATTGTAGTTCGTCGTAAGGTTCAATCAACCAGTGGTGCAGGGAATTGATTGTATAGTCAGCCTTGATTGCATCAGATTCTTCGCCCGTGAGAATTATACAAAGGAATGCAACACTTTGTAAGTACACTATGTATATGTATGTCTATAACATTTTTCTTTAGTAATAATTATTTATAAGCATACTCATACGAATTTTAACATGAAGTCAACTATAATTCTTTTAATCATGTTAATTAAATCCAAGTACCGGAATATATTTCTTTGTCTGATTTTTAAAATCATTCATGTATATTTATTTTTATCATTTGAAATAACGTGTTACGTACATTTTATCGAAGAAATGGTTTCAACATCTTTATTTCTATTATCAATAGGCTTTTGCTTTAGAGGGTGGATTCTCCTGTTCATTTCTTTCATTCGTTGGACTTAACTATATGCGTGATTAAAATCAATGGATCCGCCACTTTGTGGAACTTATTAGTGTAAGGCAGACGCGTACTTTGAAGGCAGACACGTACTTTGAAGGACCTCGATGTGATTACTGTGACCCACTTTTCACTAGGAATATAAATTTTGTCACGCAGTGATTTTTGAGATTCAGTGATTGAATCCGAGTTTGTGTTTGTCTTAAAAAGCATGTAAAATAAATTCTCTAACAATCATAATACTGGATCACAACTTATATAAATATTACACAACTTGAATAATTTTTTTTATTAGAATTTGAAATGTATTTGTTTATAAAGCAAAATGTAATTATGAATTCAACGTGATTTCAACCAAATATCAACGTTTGTACAACCGAAAAATTTCAACCAAATCTCAACCTAATTTCAACCAATGTTCACTTTTGTTCAATGTTGATATTTGACGTTGAAACAACGTTGAAGCTTCAACGTTGCCTCAACTTTCATTTGCAACCAAAAATCAACCATAAATCAACCAAAAATTCAACCCATTTTTCAACGTTTATTCAACGTTGAAAATTGACGTTGAAACAACGTTATGTCTCAACGTTGCCTCAACTTTCATATGCAACCAAAATTCAACGTTGATTCAACGTTGAAGTGCAACGTTGATTCAACGTTGAATCAACGTTGAAATGCCTGCTGGGTAATATCCGCAGTATATTAAAAAATATAGTAGAATCTGTTTTTTCGTCTTTCTTTTTCGATGATAGATTTTTGTGTTTTATCTATAATTAATTTATTTTCAATCATGATATAATGCTTACATGTATAAATTTTCGAATAACCATGATAACAGAGCGAAGAACTGAATAACATTACAACAATCTAAAAGCCGAAATCAATGGTTTAGAAATATTAATGTGATATAAGCCTTTCAAAAAGATCCACAAATAAAATTGTTTATATTTTGATTAATAAATCAATTCAAGATTTTAGGAAACGTTCAACAAAATTCTAGTAAATACTTTTATATAAGTCCAAACAAATTTTGTAAAAAATAAAGGTTAAATATTTAATATTTTCAGTAGTAATCAAAAGCGGCGATGGCCTAATGGATAACGCATATGCCATGCAATCATAAGGTCATAGGTTCGCGCCCAGACTGTGGCGATTTTTTTTTAGGATAGATTAAAAACATGCATTTGGTCTTCGTGTACGTTTAATTTAATTTTGAATTTCGTTCTTTTTCATTATTTTTACCAAATCAGGATATGTGCGAACTCTATATTTATAATATTGATAACAAATCACTATAAAAATAATTTTTCACCCATATAAACTATATTATCGACTGCGTAATGTGGCTTAATGGTAGATTAATGGTAGCTTAATGGAGTTTGGACATTAAGCACCTGTAAGTCCCCCTTAATGGTAGCTTAATGGTGACTTAATGGTGGTCTAAAAGCTACCATTAAGGACCTGTAAGCCACCATTAAGCTACCATTAAGCTACATTTAAGCACCCATTAAGGACTTTGAGATGGCTTAATGGTAACTTAATGGTGGTGTAAATGTTACTTAAAGGTGCTTAATGGTGACTTAAAGACAACCATTAATCCACCATTAAGGTACTATAAGCCACCATTAAACCGGACTTAAGGAATGTGTTTCATCTTGTGCTGGGGCTATAAAATTCATAATTTGGGTAAAAGCACTCTTGCTCATCATAACTATGCACTTAGTTAGTTTATTTGATACAAAGGGGGAGAGAAGAAAATTTTCAAAGAAATCATGTATTTTCACTATATATAATCAATAGAGCCCCACCCTAACACCTGAACCCCTGACCCTGGGGCCATAAAATTCACAATTTTGGTAGAGGCACTCTTGCTCATCATAACTATGTACTTAGTTGGTTTATTTAATACCCAGGAGCAGAGAAGAAGATTTTCAAAGAAATAATGCATTTTCACTATATACTTATTTAGCCCCGCCCTTTTGGAAGAGGACTCAATGTTGATTACAATCATGCAAACAATTTGACTGCTTGATGTTTGATGTCCAGAAGTAAAGAAGAAGATTTTTAAAGATTGGATTAATTTTAGTGGTTTTTGCCCCACCCGTCAAGCCCCAAGGGGGCAGGGATCATGAAATTCACAATTTTTGTTTCCCTTCACCCATAGATGCTTTGTGCCAAATTTGGTTGAAATCGGTTCAGTGGTTGCAGAGAAAAAGCTGAAAATGTTCAAATGTTAACACACGACGGACGACGGACGACAACGGACGAAAACGGATAGCAATAGGTCACCTGAGTTTACTCAGGTGACCGAAAATAGCTACTTTCCGTTCAGAGTGACACATAATTTTAAATATTGCTATTTTATGTGTGTTTCCATTTTATATTTAGAAAATAAGTCTTTTAAAATTAAGTAACCTGTATGTGAATTCAGATAGATGTGGACTACTCGATATTTAGGAATATCGAAGCATTATTAATTAACAATTAAAGAATCTTTCCTTCATACGACGAGTTAATATAACCTAGTGAACTTGATATAAATGTTTACACCGACTTTAGAACATCTGGGTTATTTTAGACATGTAACTAGTACAGTAAAAAGATGTAAATGGTAACCTAAAACATTCCTTTATAATAAACAAGGTGACTTTTCCATAGTCAGGTTTGACTTTTATATTTTTGTAGTAATATACATTTATCAGCTGCAAATGAGGTTTTCTATCATCAAGTTTGTTCAAAAGCAAATAACGCTACACGCATGGACAATTTTTAAAACGAAGACACTTTGTTCTTACCAGCTGGTCTTTATGGGAGGCAATAATAATAAGCGGGTGTAAATTGACATTTGGCATGGAATCTTTGATTGCTGTTGTGTCTTTCGGATCCTTTTGTGTTATTCCGTCATTGCAGTATGTATTTATTGTTTGTAGCCAAAAATGGAAGTATTCTACAGATAAAGATACATATAAATATTAATGTCAACTTGCATTGAATTTAATATGAATATTCTTATTTAAAAAATGATATTTAAAAAATCACTTTCTCTTACTGGCTTGATATGAAGAAGACAAGCAATCACCAGATTTAAATATTTGCTTGATACCATTCAGGTGATCACGTTTAAAAGCATAATCACAAGACTTTGTTATTTTTAAATGGATAAAATTATTAATGTCAACTTGCGATGAATTTAATTCCCGGTATGAATATTTCTATTCAAAAAAATATTTATTATATTTATTATATATTTATTTTAGGTTTATTTCTTTTACTAGCTTGATATGAAGAAGAAAAGCAATCACCAGACACTGTGATTATAGATATTCGCTTGTAACCATTCACGTGAACTAATTTAAAAGATAATCACAAGAATCTATTATTTTGCAAGCCATTTTATGCATAAAATGGCCCTGTACTTATATAAATTAATTAACTATCACCCTCTTTTTCCCAATTCATATATCAAGAGAAAGTAGACACTTCATGCTCTCATTTCCTATAATAAAATTTCGTTTTTGAGAATACAGATATTGGAAAACAGGTTTGAGAAATTGCAATGTTCTTGAAATTTGCAGAAAACACGTGTATTTGACTACTTTCGGCAAAGAATTAAAATATGAGCACAGCCCACGATCCAAAAAATAAAAGATGTTTTTTGATATTCAGAAACAGAGCTTTCATTATGTATATGCAGACTTTGGATCAGAGGTTGTGCTCTATATGAAATATTGAAAAAAAGCTTCAACTGTAGGTCGTTTTCAAAGGAATTTACAGGATATTAGGAAAATGACGCATTTTATGACGTCATAATGCATTGACTAGATGGGAAATTACGTCACGATTAATAGATACGTGTTCACCAACACTCCAAGTGATGAAGACTGCATTTGCAACCTAAACTGATCAGTTTTGATTTTTCAGAAATTCTCAGGGCCAAATATGGCCCAAGGTGGCTCTACCTCTTTAATGTTAGAGAAAAAAAACACACAGTGATAACAATTTACATTAGAGGATTAATATTCATTTGGATATAATCATCTTCCTTTATGCTTTTAAATTGATGCTCAATCTAAAATGAGTTCATTTGGAAAAAGGTATAGTTTCCTGCAATATATATATATATAATATTATTTTTTTTTTCTTTTCTTATTTATCAAGATATTTAATGTTTCTTTTCACAGATTATTATGCACATGGTTTTTTTTCATTTCGGTATTAACTTTCAATTGGTTTGTAAATTAATTACCCTTTACATTAAATTACTACAATGTAAATATAGATAAAATATACATTTACAATGTTATTAGTTCTTGTCCTATTTACAATAAACCTCGTTAGCAAACCCTTTCGTAGATCGTCTGCAAAATACCTTTTCATAAATTCAAAAGACAAACACATAAAAAAGTATACCTAGGAGAAGAAGCTCATGATTTCACAAATGTAAAGAAAAAATTGCCTTAGAAAATCTGATTAAATTTAATAAAATTTGTAATTGTTCTTCCTAAGACTGGGGGCAGATAAATTATGTATCGATATGTAATTCACCTCCGTAAGTCCATGAATGAAATAAGGACCCTGTTGGATCATGACGATCTGTGTCATACAATCGACTTTCTTCATCAAGCTTTTTGGACATCTCGACAACCACAATATAAAATGCTCTCCTTGACAGGTAAACCTGGTGACATGCATAGTATGCCACTTGTCCTGCGAAGTCTGTCATGCTTATTAAGTTGTTGTCGAGGTATAGATTACTACTGTTGTCAGCATTCGCAAAATCTGTTCGAGTACGAAAATAAGCAGAATTATATAAAATTAAAAGAGAATTCCTGACAAAAAATCTTTGCTAAACTTTTTATAAAATTCAACATTATAATTACATGTATATTAGCAATTCAATACCTTGGTCACCTTCATGGTGGTAAATGCAATGCTCTTGCAATATTTAATGTAGTCATCTCTTTACAATGTATACATTAGTTCTAAACATGCTACACAAATTCCAAATAACGTCACTGTACATGTACCTTTCCTACTATTGGAACTTTTGAACAAATGAGAAACATGAGCGGTACTCGTATTATTCCAAAGGATTAGAACCTCGTACTTCAGTTTGCTTTGAAAAGCATATACACTGAAACATAGCATATACGCTGTTAAAAAAAACTATCACCTGTTAACTTGTTTTCCTTAATAGCAAATACATCTTCATGGACCTCAAGGCCGATAGTTGTCTCAGTTGGTTTCTCGTCATCTGTTATACCGCTTCCGTGAAGCTTTTTAAGAAGAGTTGTTTTTCCTGCACCTGCACATCCAACTATCATTCCTCTGGCGCGAAACATTTCAACTTTTCCTTGCTTGAAGTTTTTCACAAACCTTTTTCTAGCATCGATATCCTTTCTTAATATTTCTTCAGGTATATTCACTAAATGATGAAAATAAATGTCACAACCAATATTCTCCTGAATGACAAAAATTGTACCCTTATTTAGCAAATATATAAAGTACTATTTCATTAAGTGTTCAAAATATAATAGACTAGTTGACAGATTGACATTATTCTAAATGTTTATTTCAATGTTCATAAACATGCTACTATGTCTGTTTAATTGACAGGTAGACAAGTCGACAGGTCGACCTCAATATTACTGTAAAGTTTGAGGTCATTAAAGTACATTTGTTGATAACGTGCTTTTATTACTGGCTGACAGGTCGACACGTTGACATCATTACTATTGTGAAATTTGAAGTCATAGAAGTCATAAAAGTACATTTGTTTGTAAACATTCTATTATGTATAGTTGATAGGTCGACAGATTGACATTATTATAAATATGTATTTCGAAGTCATAGAAGAACTCTTTAATATTTTAGATTGTATTCAGGTTTTATGTAATGTAATAATACTAAATTATTATAATAAATGAAAATGTTTGTGAATATTCATTAATATTAATTTGCATTTTATTATTTTGTACATATATTTGTATTAGAAAATAATTTAATAATTATTATGAATATTTAGGATCTTTCAAAAATATTATAATAAAAAAACAGATTTACGACAGATTATGTGGATATGGGACTATTTTCGGTTTACTTTGTACTCATGTTACTTATGCAACTAGATTTTTGTGCTATAATGTTCAATAATTTTTTTTACACACATGTATATAGTAGTAATTATATTTAAAAAACCCCAAAATCTAAAATATTTCAAGCATCAAGTTATAGAAATGCCCCAAATTACAACCTATAATAAATGTATAATATCTAAAATAAACTCTTTCAAATCAAAGTAAACCTGCACAATGAATCACATATTTTTTTTTTAGTTTAGATGTATAGACTTAGTATTTTTTGTGCAGTTAAAAGATATGTAAAAATAATCAATATGCTTTTAGGAATATCAATACTAAAACAACGAACCCAATATGCCTACCACCAGTCAAAGTGATTTCCAGTTCAATGGATTGTGTCGTTTATAACTTACTTTTATCAAATAATTTAGAGCATTGATGTACGATATGATGGTTTTATTTGAAAAAATGTATAATTGTGTGTAATACTAAATACATGTAAGTAATACAGATTTAATAGAAATACCAAAATCACATGAACTGAATAATTATGTACTTAAATTCATGATTAAATCTGATCAATACATAGGACATTTTTATGTCGATTTTTGAAACTAGTTTCTAGGGGGAAACATTATTAAAAATTATAAATACTCACAACGTTTACTGATACTGTCATGAATCCACCCATCAGACACGGTGCAGTGTGTGATGATGTCCAGTTGTAGTTTGTCTATGAAGAGGTCGTACATCTTCTCCGGAGTGCCCGGTACATACAGACATCTCTCTCCCTCACTCCTCTCATAACTCCAGGACCGGCAGTATTCTGATATTACGTCACGTGACGCTGTGGTTAGGAAAAACTCAAGATCACTGTCCTCCACCATACAATCCGTAACAAAGGCGTACATGACGTCATGTCTGATGTCGTCTGATTTAAACGCTATCACACCATTATGTGTTTCTGTGATTTCCTGTGGTATATCTACTGAGCTTTCTGCATTAACCATGGGGAAATATCTGTCTCTGATTTTGTCTCTCGTCATTCTCTGTGATTGCTCATTGAGATTAAGCTGATATTCCTCAAATAACAGTAAGCAGTACAATAAACATCTGACTACTGGCTGAAAGCTATGGTATTTACCTGACACGAAAAAATAAATGAAAATTTAAAGTAAAAATCAGACGTATAGATAAAAATAAATTACAAAGTAGAGGCGCATGGGCCACATCGCTCACCTGAGCAGGCATGGGGTAATCGTAATCGAGTAATCATAATCGATTGTAATGATTACTTTTTTTTCAAGTAATCGACAGTAATCTGTAATCGAAGAGACTTTTGATTACAGTGCTGCTATCCCACAAGTTGACATGGGATGGGATTGGATAGGATTCGGGATTGAGGATTCACGATAGGAACATATAGAAATTAATCCAATCCTATCCTATCCTATCCTATCCTGTATCCTACAGCCAATCAGATTCGAGGAAAGGTTCATTCATATTTCAGAATAATTTACAAAAAAGAAATACAGTATAAAATGTTTACAAAAGAACTATTTATAAAATTTAAATAGAAAATAAAACATTCTCTTTACTAAAAACAGATTTACATCATAAACTTCGAGTAATAAGGCGTACGATCTAACCGTGAACGAACCACCGGAATAATTTGAGAATGTAAACAACGAAGAGTCCAGGCATCGAAAGACCTTATTTCTTCAGCTTGTTTGGATGATTTAACCGATTCTTACTTGTGTAAAAGTGTAGTAACATGTTTTCCTGTTAAATTTGCTCTGTTTGATTGGATAATTCCACAGGAACCGTCGACCGCGGACTTGAATAGATGATGTGCGAGAACATGTAAGTACACTACAAACTGTACACTGTACATGTGTGAATTTTTACACTTATTTCGCCCTTTAGACAATATTCTAATGACTTAAATTATAAACATTTTATTCTATTTTATGTTAACAAAAATAGGGTGCGGAAAAATTGAGAGAAGTAGTGTAGATAGAAGTAGCTAGATAGAAGGGGGGATAAATATTTACAAATACTCTGTCACATGATTGAATTCAATCAGCTATCAATGAGCTCTTAGACTAAAACAATCATACGTATTATGCTTTAATCAGTTTGTTACTATTATCATTTCCCTAGTAAGGTTAGAAAAGAGTTTCTTTCATTTCAGTGCAATTTATGATAAATGAATGTAGAATCATTATGACCATTTCTAATGCTACTGTTTAAATATTTAATAAGCTCATTCAGCAGTCAGCACTGCACTTACATTGTATGTACATTTGTAATGATGTATTGTGAGTTATGAAACACAAGTTAATCTTTAATATTCATTATTACAGAGAATGGATTTGCCTGCACCCATGCGTCATCACAGTAGAAAGGATTTTAATCTAAAAAGTATGTATGATTTGATTTTTTATCATGTATTTTTGCATGATCATTAAAATGCATATACATTATTATCTGAGTTGAGATAACGTGTCAGCAGATTCTCGGAAGTGATTTTCTTATTTTAAAAATCTGGAGAGGAAATTAAACTGAAAACAATGTTGAATTATTCTAGTCATTTTGTTGTTATATAAATTATGTATTTTCTTTTTCATATTCAAATTTCAAGACAAAAGAAAAAGAAATCAAAGAAAAAAACATTAATTAAAAGATAAATAAATAGAGATAAATCTCACAAACTAATGTATTCATACTTGTTAGCAAGTCAACAAGATAAAATGAATGATAATGTACTTGTTAGTAAATTATGTTAAATAAGAATAAAAAAAAAAATAATATATCACTGAGGTTGCAGTATAAGATTTTATTTTTCATGATTTCTTAATGCACTAGTTTTGGGAGAGAAAAAGGGTGAAATTAAAGCCAGTTGTATTTGAAATGTGAAAGATAATCACAATCAAAAACAGTTAACATGTGTAGTAACACAAAATTTACAATCAACATGCCTATAATTTTTTCTCCAGGACAACCCTGCTCATTTCAGCTGTACAGATTGCAGTTCATCTCATATGCTGTTAGACTAAATAGTGAAAGATGTTCAAACCAGTTTCAAAGAGTCCTAAGTCTGAAATCATGGTGCTTTTATTACGGAGATCAGTGCTTTATTCTGTGCATTGTTGACATTTGTGGAACTGTTCGGTTTATGACCATCTCTCTGACAATATCTCTGACATTTGAAATTCAGTTTGAGCGACGGATAAGGAAGCCAAATCATATGCATGTAAAACATTATACAACTGTAATAAAAACATTGATAAACTTAAATTTAAACAAAGTGCATGTAAATTTATCTGTGATCTTGGCATTGAAATTCATCCTGTACATGGATACTTTTAATGAATTTGTCTCATGGTAATGGAATATTCAATTGTTAAACATTGTTGAGGAATCACCCTGAATAAAAATATTGTGAACTTGATCATATATTTTTTCGATTTCCTCATTTAAACACTGAAAATTTTAAGATCAAATGTCAAGGTCAAATACAAGGTTTACTCAAGAAAGTGTGATAATTGATGTAAATACTATGAATTCTTTTGCATGTTTTATCAGATCTAAGTAAGATGTGTGGATCATTTTAATGTCTCTCAATCAGACACTAATGAACATTAAAGATCAAATGCCAAGGTAAAATACAAACTTGGCTTACTCAAGAATGAGTTATAAATACTGTAAATACTGTGAATTCTTAATTTCTTATGCATGTTTTATAAGATCTAAGGAACATGTGTGAGCTTGCTACAATATTTATTGCTTTCAATCTGTCTGAGTCTGACAATGAAGATTTAGGAAAATATTTTATATTAAACATAAATTATTAAATTTCCACACATAAAACAAAATTGAAATACATTTGTTCGGCACTGAACTGACAATAAACTGAGAAGAAAATGAAGTTAAATAAGAAATTTGACATTCTAAATATCTTGAATTTTATTCAGCAACTATATATTTTGCATGTTTGTAAAATATTCACATAAGAAAAAATTAATATGAATTTAAATAAAAAAAATTATACATTTAGATTTAATAGTTGATATAATAAGACAATTTCACAATTAAAATGTTTGATATGTGAAAGTCAAGATATTCTAGATCTAAATTTTGACTTGTCTGTTTGGTTTATGGTCTAATCATATCTCTTTTTTTTATAACCGCGTACAGAAAAACATGTTAAACAGGCACAGTTAGACTTCACATGTACATGCATGTTATTTTTATGCTGCTCGGTTTAGGAAAAATAAAATTTTACATGAAACATATACTTTAACATTATTACCGTATAGACCTATGTTTTTTTTTTTAAATAATAAATTATATCACACTGGGAGCACGTCTCGATCCTGTGGCCATGTCTCCCGATCATTGTAGGAAAATTGAAACAAAGTCTACTTATATTTTTTTCGTTAATTCCTTCTTCTGGATGCCCAAATTCTTTACAGATGTTCGCAAAATCAGTACTTGCCCACGTTTTATCACAATCTGTTTGTTTACATTTATTTTTAACATGGTAATGAAAATCCTAAATTTAAAATGTGCGGTGTGTCAGGAATTATGGAATGTCGATCTCGATTATTTTTATCCATTAAAATATGTAACACTTAAATGAATACCATAACTATATCTGCTTTTTTTTTGGTTGTCATTCCGTTTTTTTTTTCCGTTTTGTCAAATTTATTCCTAATTGTCAACTTATAGGATAGCAGCACTGTACTTGTAATCGTAATTTAATCGATTACAGCTAAAATTTTCAATATAACTATAATTACTTCTTCGTTTACTTTAAATTACTTTATCATGTTTATGCATATATACACATCTACTTTATACATGAATGTTTTGTAGAATCATTTCTAGTCAGTCAAACATACATATTATGTACAAAGCACTCACTGATCTGTGTTGATTTCCTAACTTTTTTAATCATAACTTGAATAGTGTTCACAATAAAATTTGCATTATTGACATACTGGTACATGTATTGTCTTTTTAAAATCTTAGATGCTGATAAACTGTTTTCTGACAGAAAACAATGTAATATATATCAAAAATAAATTTGAGTTTTTTTTTTTTATATGAAAACAAATTATCTGACATATAACCTACAACCTACATTGTACTAGCTAAGACCTGATAGAAAATAAGAGGAAAATACTTGTATCTTTTGTGTTTTAAATTTGCAAAATCATTTCTATTTTTTATTTCAAAATTAACTTTTTTTGTAAATGAGTGTTTGTATTTTAAAAGAGAGGGGGTATTAAGTATCACTGTGTTTTTCTTGGCTAATTGGCTGGGATATCCCTGATTGTAGATAATGAGGTGTGAACTGTGAACTTCATAATATTTTATAATTAATAAAGCCTTAATATACAAACAATCTTATAGAACAATTGATACCTCTCAAAACAATCATTTCAACACATAAAAATGTGCTATTATATACTTAAAGGTAAATTGAGTTTAAATGATCATTTCTAAGAGCTCTAATTTATTTATTTTTCTAAATATATAATTAAATCACGGGATGTGTATATGCATACTACCACATGCAGAAATATTCAAATGCTTGTAAATCACTGTAAAATATTAAATAATTTCTGCAACAATCAAAAGATTTTAAATATGGAGGTTCAAATCCAAACTGCGTAAATACTTTCAAACTTCAGAGGATATCATTAACATAACTACATAATCTATACTTATAAATTAATAAATTTTGCAAATAAACTCCGACACGGGTGCACAAAAGTTCTTACTTACCCCTCTAATACTACACTACATACAAGATGATGTCCGTAAACTATACTTAGATTTCACTCGGATAGTAAGTATCGTACATAAAATTAAAAGTCTACTTCAATTTTCTGAAAACAGCCATGAAATAGCATCAACGTGAGTATTGTGGCGTTTCCGGTTGGCGGATCTAAGCTACTGACAAATTTTAATGAAACTGACAACATACAATCTATTATTTATTTCATAAAATGTC